GAAAGTTGAACAAGCATGTTAATCTAACTCTCATGTTGGTCAAAATTGTTTTAGCAGAAGCCAAAAAACAAAATATAGTCAAAATGATGAACTAGGGGCACAATCGAGTCAGGATTTCTATTTTTTCCCCGTTGTCAACGTACTCGCCAAAAAGGGAACAACTGAAGCTAGCAGCAGAGGCCAAAAACTCTCTCATCCTCCAAGTAGCGAGGTATCGAACCAAGTGCGAAGCACGAACTAGAAATAGAGCTGGATATTTAACCCCCCTCATAGGGTCCACAACTTTCAGCTTATCCATCAACCATACCTGGGAAGGGATAACAAATAAGAGAGATTAAAAAATAAAGAGATGTGCATCGAGAGAAAAGTAAGAAAAGGGCTTGTTAGAGAAAATAGAGATTGAGTGCCAAAGTGATATGAGAATCACAAATGAGAAAGGGTGGGAAACAATACCTGGAGAAACAGTGGGCTCCCCATGAACTGAGAGATCTCCCACCGGTGGTAAACATCTAAGTGTTGTGTTTGTTGTTTTTGTTTGTCTCGATTCTTGTTTTGAGTCATTTTTGAGTCGTTTCAAGTGTAAATAGGTGTGTTTAGATTGTTTTTACTTTGTTTTTCCTTTGTTGAGTCGTGGTGTACTATGGTCAGTCATAGGCTCAATACCCAGTTAAGAATTTATCCTTGGTTCCAATTTCAAGAAAATAAATTGTTTTGTGCTTAGAGTGCTGTGTCATTCCCAACATGATGTGCAAAACAAGATTCTTTGTTTCATAAACTGCAAGGTCCAACCTCGATCAAAAGAGAGAGCAATAGAACGAGGACCTATCTGAAGCTACATAGGTTCCGGACTGCAAAGTAAAAGAACAGAGGAAAAATTGGAGCATTTGAGCAATTTCCGGGATTGTATTTCGAAGGCACCTTTTCAGGCCTAGTCATTGCTCTGAAGTATGAGTGTACCTTGACCTCAAGTTCAAGGCTGCTTCAAGTCAGAATGGCGGTCAAAGTGCTATCCCTGAACACCATTCCCTGCTAGAGGCGTCTGGGCTGCGTTTGCAATGAGTTCCTAGGAGACCAACTGCGACGGTGGAAACTCGAGTTCGAATGGCGATGCAAAGGTTTGGAATTTTTGAGACTAAATACCCAGAGGTGTATCTTCAACTTGAAATCTGTATGGTAGCCCCATAGGTTGAGGTAGCATGTATGCGCCTCAATTTTGGATACTGAACCAACCTAGTCTATCACCCTGTTAGAGAATAAGGAAAGTTGTGAATGTGATCAGGAAGAAAAGCGGCATCCGTGGCTTCTACATGCAGAGGTTACCCCTTGTCATCATATGAGGGCCTTTGAACTGTAAGTTGAAGGTAAGAGTTTGAAAGAGACAAAGGGAAGATCCCCGTCAGAGTAGAGTGGTTCATCATCACTCGCCCCATGAGGTGCTTTCAAAAGAGCCGCTTTGATTGTTTGTTACATTTTCTCAGCATCATCCACTACATTGCTTGTCACACATACCATGTGCATCTACCGCACAACTCGCCATACTATGCGCATCTATCGCATCATCTCAGGACCTCTTCTCATGATTTCAACGTAGTTTGAGTGTTCCTTTCCTCACATGATTTTAGCATGTTTGGAATTTATCTCAGGACGCATGGAACGTGACCTTAAGCGGTTTTTTCAAGACCTCTTCTCACGATTTCTGCGTGGTTTGAGTGTTCTTTCCCTCATACGATTTTAGTATTTTTGGAATTTATCTCAGGACGTATGGAACGCGACCTTGAGCGGTTTTCTCAGGACCTTTTCTCATGATTTCAACGTGGTTTGAGTGTTCCCTTTCTCACACGATTTCAACGCGTTTGGAATTTATCTTAGAACGCTTGGAACGCAACCCTGAACGGTTTTCTCAAGACCTCTTCTCATGATTTCAACATGGTTTGAGTGTTCATTTCCTCACACGATTTCAGCGTGTTTGGAATTTATCTCAGGACATGTAGAACGCGACCTTGAGCGGTTTTCTCAGCACCTCTTCTCATGATTTTAGCGTGGTTAGAGTGTTCCTTTCCTCACATGATTTCAGCGTGTTTGAAATTTATCTCAGGACGCGTGGAACGCGACCCTGACCGGTTTTCTCAAGACCTCTTCTCAAGATTTCAACGTGGTTAGAGTGTTCATTTTCTTATACGATTTCAGCGTGTTTGGAATTTATCTCAGGACACGCGGAACGCAACCCTGAGCGGTTTTCTCAGGACCTCTTCTCATGATTTCAATGTGGTTTGAGTGTTCTCTTCCTCACACGATTTTAGTGTGTTTGGAATTTATCTCAGGACGCGTGGAATGAGACCCTGAGCAGTTTTCTTAGGACCTATTCTCACGATTTCAACGTGGTTAGCGTGTTCCTTTCCTTACACGATTTCAGCGTGTTTGGAATTTTTCTCAAAATGCATAGAACGCGATCCTGAGCGGTTTTCTCAGGGCCTCTTCTCACGATTTCAGCGTTGTTTGAGTGGTCCCTTCCTCACACGATTTCAGCGTGTATAGAATTTATCGCAGGACACGTGGAATGCGACCCTGAGCGATTTTCTCAGGACCTCTTCTCACGATTTCAACGTAGTTTAAGTGTTCCCTTCTTTACACGATTTTAGCGTGTTTGGAATTTATCTCAGGACGTGTGAGGCGTCACCTTGAGCGGTAGGACCTCTTCTTACGATTTTAGCGTGGTTTGAATGTTCTCTCCCTCACACGATTTCAGCGTGTTTAGGATTTGTTCTCTCCCTCACACGATTTCAGCGTGTTTGGAGTTTATGGGAGCCGAATTCAACGGGATACAAATAGGCCAAATAAACGTGTGGAAGATCAACATATATGTTATATTCGGCCCTGTCTTGTATCATCCAGAAGCCGAGCATCCTAATCGGCCATAAGACCAATTGAGCGAGGAGCCGAGTAGGAATTGATTGACGACAGAAGAAGCCGAGTGAACAATCACACGGTGGATTAAAAGTGGGTTTGACCTTGAGGCCCATCAGCCAAAGAAAGGTATGTGAGAAACAATCCCAAAAAACTTGAGACATAAGCAAACATGAGATATATACTGATTTGTCCGTCGGAGTGCTAATTCCGGCACCCCGAACCGGAGTGTTAATCTCTTTTTAGGTGGAAATCAGAGAATCAGGAATGTCCTTCAGGATCCAAGAGTATTTCCAAATCACCCCTCCACAATTGGCATCGTCTGTGGGAATACTCAAGTACATCCATGGCGGGCGTAACGGAAGATCCTCCGATAGTCGATGACGAAACTACACCAAGAGATGATCTCACTCCAAGAAACATGCTGGGACCGGAGAATATTGCCGCACGACGTGCCTTGAACTTTGACTCAGTAACTTAGACCTCACCCTCAGTTTCAATGCATGAGACAATACAGACAATTATGGATCAAGCAAAGCAAAATGAACAACGGCTGGAGAACATGATGGCTGAGAATGAGCGCTTGTACCAGGATTTGGCCTTGGAGGTGGCGAAATCCCAGCAAGTCGCATGCCAAGACCGGGATCAACCTCCGGAAAAGGATGGCCGTTCGACGCTGACTTCAGAAACGCAATAATGATAGTGATCCAGACTCACCATCCCCGGAGCCCAGAAAGAAAGGGCGTGTCCATGCATCCAAATCGTCTGAAGAAAGTCTATATGAACGGCATAGACAAAGAAGAAGCGATGATTCAGATAAGGAAGATAAACATGACCCATTCATGCGACGAATTTCCAGGGCTGTGCTACCCAAAAAGTTCAAGGCACCGCCGTTCACCTTCTACGACGGAAAATCAGACACCACTGATCACATTCGTCATTACAAGCAAGCGATGACGCTCCATATTGACGATGAAGCCCTCATGTGTCGGATATTTCCAAGCAATCTGGGACCACTGGCCGTGAGGTGGTACTATAAATTGGAGCCGGAATCGATTAAGAGCTTCCACAAACTCCAAAAGTCTTTTAAGATTCATCACTAATGAGGTCCAGCCAAAGCAAGCCAATTCTCTCTGGGCCATGCAAATTAAACCGGAAGAAACTCTTCGTGAATACTCGACCTGCTATTGGGAGTGCTTTAATCTGGTAGATGACGCTTGCAATGATTCCATGGCCATCATCGCCTTTAAGATGGGATTGCATCCTGATAACCCCCTCTGCAGTTCGTTAACCAGACGTCCCCCCAAAACATCTGGGCATTAATGAAGAAGGTCGAAGAGTACTGCAAAGTGGAAGACAATGCCCTTCGAGTCAAAGCCGGGCATAAAGCTGTTCAGCCAGCCACGTCGGGAATTGTTCAGCTGATTAATACTGTGCCGTCAAGAAGCCTAGAGTGACAGAATTGACCTAAACGGGACAATAGGCATGATTCGCGCCGATTAAACGATCAATGTTCACATCACGCTAATGAACAATATCAAGTGGATAGCAGGCGGATAAGACGTCCGGGCAAGAAATACATGTAGCTGACAGAGCCGATCAATAAGATTCTGTCAAGAATACAACACCTTTCGTTCTTCAAGTGGTCACCTAAGATGATCGGACCCCTCGATGCAAGGAGACAAGATAAACGATGTGAGTATCATAAGGACCATGGCCATGACACCGATAATTTTTTTTCTTTAAGAGATCACCTGGAAGAATTAGTGCAAGATGGTTGTCTTACGCAATATGTCCGGAAGAACAGTTCAACAAACACAGTAGCTCTACGGCCGGAGTTACCCCCTCTTAGTGTAATTCATATGACATATAGCTTGCCGGCACCATCTGAGGTACACATAATTCAGTTGCCGTCTAGCGCCCATAGCTCAATGACACCAGCGAAACGACTATGCAACACTAGAAGGATTAGTTTCGATGACGGTGATTTAGTTGGAGTGACCCAACCCCACACTGATCCCCTCGTCATCGAGCTGTGTGTAAACAGATTTACCATCGAACGTGTTCTCATTGACTAAGGCACCACTTCAGAGATAATGTATTATAAAACTTTTGTCAAGCTGGGTTTTACCGATTCGAACCTATCTCCGGCTGATTATCCTTTATTCGGCTTCAATGTTAACGCAGAGTACCCTTTGGGCAAGATCACACTGCCTGTACGGGCCAGAACCAGATCAGTAGACGTAGAATTTCTGGTTGTTAAGCTCCCTTCGCCGTATAATCTGATCATGGGCAGAACTTGGTTACATACGATGCAAGTCGTGCCAAGCACCTACCATCAACTGCTCCGTTTTCTGACTGAGTACGGTATTGAACAAATTTGCGGCTCTCAAAAATCGGCGCAGGCATGCTATCTTTTAGCTGCGAAGAGACCGAAGGAACTGGAGGTGCATTCAATTGAGGTACCGGATAGGGAGAGTCTCGATGACATTGTAAGGATCCCAAGTGAAAAAGCAACCGAAGCCCTGCACCAGGTTGAAATTGATGAAAATCCTAACAAGTTCTTCATGATCGACGCTTCCTTGGATAACGTCGAACGGCAGGAATTGGTAGCCTTCTTACTCGGCAATACTGATGTGTTTGCATGGTCTACATACGAAATGCCAGAAATAGATCCATCGGTAGTCCAACACCGCTTGAATGTTGATCCAAAGTGTAAGCCAATTGTTCAAAGAAGCCGACGATCAGCCGCGGAGCATACTTTGGTCGTCATTGAAGAGGTAGATAGGTTACTTGAAGCCGAGGCGGTCCGCGAAGCAGCTTATCCTACATGGTTGTCCAATACTGTGGTCATAAAGAAGAAGAACAGATCTTGGCATGTCTGTGTCTATTTTACAGACTTGTGCAAAGCTTGTTCGAAGGACTGTTTTCCCTTGCCCAGAATCAACCAACTCGTAGATGCAACGGCACATCATCAACGCATGAGCTTCTTGAATGCCTACAGAGGCTATCATCAAATTGCCATGCATCCAGAGGATCAGGAAAAAACCGCATTCCTCACCCCAAGAGGAACCTATTGCTATAAGGTCATGCCTTTTGGGCTGAAGAATGCGGGGGCAACTTATCAAAGACTAGTGACTTCCATGTTCAAGGAACAACTCGGCCGTACCATGGAAGTATACATCGATGATATGGTAGTCAAATCCAAGGAAAAGCACTCTCATCTAGGCGATTTGTCAGAGACATTTGGCATTCTTCGAAAAATACAAGATGAAATTGAACGCTTCTACGTGTGCATTCGGCATCGGTTTCGAAAAATTCCTTGGCCACATCGTTAACCACCACGGAATCGAAGCCAATCCAAGACAGATCATAGCAATTCTAGAGCTTGGATACCCTCAGTCAGTGAAAGAGGTTCAGAAGCTAATGGGGATGGCTGCCGCTCTAAATAGATTTATCAGTCGTTCAACAGATCGCTGCTGACAATTCTTTTACACTCTTCAGCAAGGCAGAGCATTTGATTGGACTCCCGAGTGCCAGGCTGCTTTAGACGGCCTGAAATCTTACCTCCGATCAGTTCCGCTCTTGGCAACTCCTGCAGCCGGCAATCCACTCATTCTGTATCTGGCAGTATCCGATAGGGCGGTCAACACCGTATTGTTAAAAGAAGAACTAGGGGAGCTGTGATACCCCTGTTCCATAGTATGCTAATTGGTCCTTAAATTGAGTATGATTATGTGTTTACCATGATTTTATGTGCCATTATGTTAATATATGTGATTTTGAATTCGTATCTGTTCACCGTAGGAACATCTGTTTGAATAGTCCGCTTCGGGAATTAAATTGAGGGCCTTATCGGCCACAGAACCCGAAATTGATTACGCCACTCTGATTGGCATAATTTTTAGAGTCTACGGTGAAATTTAATTGAAAATTTAGCCTGGTCAATTTAGACTGATTAAATTGATAAATTAAGTCCCCAATTGTTTTATAATAAAATAATGTTGAGTGGGTGCTTATTAAGGGTCAACTACACCCTCATTTCTCTCCTTTAAGCTTCATTTGGCTGATGAAAAACTCTTAGACTTGAGAGAGGATCGGCTAAGAGAGAGAGGGTGAAGGAAATTGAGATTTCGGTCCTAAAGCTGGGTGATTTGGAGGCTAGCTTGAGAATTTACCTTAAATTGTGAGAATTAAGCTTCTAGGTAAGCCATTGACTCTTGAATTCATGAATTGAACGTGTAATCTTGTGAGCTCAAGTATTTTTTTGTGATTAAGAGTATGATTTAAATTGGTCTTGATGAGATATGACCATGCATGCATAAAAATTCTGTTGAAATGCCATAAGTTGCATAATCTGGCATGTACCATGTCAATTAAGCAAAAATTGAAGTTTGATCATGCATGCAAGCTTGGTTTTGTTGAGTTTTGGCACCATTTGCATCTTTGAAATGGAAATGAAGTCAAGATGGCCTTGCATGTTCAAAGAAGCTTTGAGACAGCAACAGGAGTGGCAACAACAGTGGCAGCAACCACATCCGCCACCTCCACCTCCGGCACCACCTGTGCCAGATAATCAAAATGATGATCGGATAATCGCTCTCACCAAGGAATTCAAGAGAATGAAACCACCACAGTTCCGTGGTGGACTAGATCCCTTAAAAGCCGAAGCTTGGGTACTTGGGATTGAAAAACTGTTTGAGGTGTTTCCGTGCTCGGATACACAGAAAGTGCTTCTAGCCACCTTTATGCTAGAAGATGAAGCGAGAAGATGGTGGATGTTAATGCGAGAAAACCACCGGGGTGTTGACTGGGTGAAATTTTTGGAAATCTTCTATGATAAGTACTTCCCACAGAGTATCTGAGACAGAAAGGTGTCAGAGTTTGAAAACTTAAAGCAAGGGAACAAAATCGTAGCAGAGTATTAAGCGCAACTTACTGAACCAGCTCGTTTCACACCGCACATGGTCGATACGGACTACAAAAAGACAAGGAAATTTGAGGGATGTCTCCGAGACTCCATTGTCAAGGACATTAATGTGTTGAAGGTACATAAATATGTGGATGTATTGGATAGGGCTATCATAGCGGAAGGTAACTAGGCCAACCGCAACCGGCACTTGGATTGGAAGGGCAAAAAGTAGAGTTCTATTGTGCACAAATGGTCAGCATCCTCACAAAATAAGAAGCAAAATTTGGGAACTTCCAGCACCGCGGGCTCTATCTACGATTCGCCACCAACTTGCCCGGAGTAGAGGAAAAAGCATCGAGGGGTTTGCTATCGAGCAGGAGGAGCTTGCTTTAAGTGTGGGAAGACGGGACATATGATGAGAGATTGTCCTATGTTCGGGTAACAAAAAGGGAAGAGGCCAACTGCTAGTTTAGTCGGTTCCACTCCTGCAACAAAGACCCTGATAAGGCCTACTACTTCTAGAGATAATGTTAGACAAGGGAGAGTCTTTGCACTCGTTCCGGGTGATACACGGAATGCCAATGCCGTTGTCTCAGGTACTATCTCGATATGTAATCAGGATGCTTTTGTGTTAATTGATTCTGGATCAACGCATTCATTTGTGACATATGCATTTGCATCTAGACTGAAAAGACCCCTAGAATTGTTGCCATATTTGTTATGTGTGTCTGCTCCATCGGGGGAATCTGTGTTATGTGAATATATATATCGGTTTTGGTTGGAACTACAGTCACTTGATCTAAATTTTGTATAAGTATATATATGTTAAGTAGAAATGTGAATTAGGCCAAAGGCCGTTTGGAACATGTTGTTCTACATTGTTATGTAATTTTTGTATTTGATATTATTCACTGGGCTATTGCTCACGCTCATTCATGTGATTGTAGGTGAGCCAAGAGAAGTCCAAACCCAGCCCCAGTGAAGTCTGCCAGGAACAACATGAGTTTTGGAGAGTCAGCCTTGCGTCTCACGCACGAGACCCACCCTTGCCATTTTGTTTGCATTCATAGTTTTTCTTGTTGGCAAGGACTCTATGTATATCTGTACATAGTTTTGATATGGGTTGACTCAGTTTGGATGATCCTGTCTATAAAGTTTTTTATGGTACTGTATTTTGTGGTGGGTTATTAACATATACGTGTATGGTTTGTTTGATGTGCATATAAGCACGGCTTTATGGACAAAGTTTTTAATTATTGCTTCCGTTTGGCCCCTTTACTCTGACGAGTTATGTCTGTTTTGGTCTAAGGCCGTAGGTAATATCAGGATTACTGGCCGGTTATGTCCTTAACCCATAGGGGCGGGTTCGGGTCATGACATAGTGGTATCAGAGCACGAGCTAATAACTCACACACTTGTCCAAAAAGAGCAATAAGCGTCTAGATGAGATCTAGGATGCATTTACGTGATAAATACGAGTTTGGAAGCATTGATTATATGCTTAAATGTTTTGTTAGGAATAATTATATGTATAAGTTGTGAACTACTTGCAGTGCAAACTATCTGGAAGTATGTGCTTCTTGGTGTATGCATACTTGTGTACCTTTTGTATGAAATATAATGCAAGTTTAATCAGATGGTGAAAACCAGAGGTGATGAGTTAGAGGAATCTTCTACTGCCAGACTGGATAGAATGGAAAGACTGATCCAAGAAATGGCAGAAGCTTTGAGACAGCAACAGGAGTGGCAACAACAGTGGCAGCAACCACACCTGCCACCTCCACCTCCGGCACCACCTGTGCCAGATCATCAGAATGATGACCGAATTATAGCTCTCACTAAGGAATTTAAGAAAATGAAACCACCACAGTTTCACAGGGGATTAGATCCGTTGAAAGCCGAAGCGTGGGTCCTCGGTATTGAGAAATTATTCGAAGTGTTCCCCTGTTCAGAGACTCAAAAAGTGCTTCTAGCCACTTTTATGCTAGAAGACGAGGCAAGAAGATGGTGGATGTTGATGCGAGAAAATCATAGGGATGTCGACTGGGTAAAATTCCTAGAAATATTCTATGACAAGTATTTTCCTCAGTGTGTCCGGGACAGGAAAGTGGCAGAATTCATGGAACTCAAGCAAGGCAGCATGACTGTAGCTAAGTATGAGGCCAAATTCACCGAATTGGCCAGGTTTGCACTGCATGTAATTGACACTGACTATAAGAAGGTAAGACATTTTGAAGGTGGGCTCCGAAGTGACATCCTAGAGAGAGTGAATGTCCTGAAGTTGGAAACCTACATCGGGGTGCTTGATCGGGCCATCATATCAGAGGCTAACATAGCTAGATAAGCTAAGCCAACAACAGAATGGAAAAGAAACAAAAGACAAGGCTTCTTTTCGAAGAAGAAATTTCTGAAAAAGCAAAACACGGGCTCCTCAAATACTTCGAGTTCTTCCCGAGACACAGCTCCCGTGTGCAACATTTGTAGCAAAAGGCACCGTGGAGTATGTTATCATGCATCAGGAGCCTGTTTTAAATGTGGAAAGCAAGGGCACATAGCCCGAGAATGTAATCAGAACAGTGGGAAACTCGCAGCTAGTTCAACTGCATCAGTTCCAAAGCCGGGAAATACTTTGAGACCTGCTACTACTGGGGACACAGTGAGACAAGGGAGAGTCTTTGCACTTGTTCCGGGCGATACACGGAGTGCCAATGCCGTTGTTTCAGGTACTATTTCAATATGTAATCAGGATGCCTTTGTATTAATTGATTCTGGATAAACGCACTCATTTGTGACACATACGTTTGCATCTAGACTGAATAGACCCCTAGAGCTATTGCCATATTTATTGTGTGTGTCTGCTCCATCGGGGGAATCTGTGTTATGTGATTATATATATCGGTTTTGTGACATGCATATCGAGGATGCTACCCTATATGTAGATTTGTTACCCTTGAATTTTAGACATTTCGATGTAATTTTGGGCATGGATTGGTTGACCAAGTATTGTGCCACCATAGACTTTATGAAAAAAAGGGTTGTATTTAACCTACCAGAACGGAAAGAGATTGTGTTTGTGGGTAATGGGGTAGTGCCTCCACCGTATTTGATATCCGCAATGAAAGCATGTAAACTGATTAGGAAAGGGTGCCAGGGTTATTTGTGCTATGTGTTGTCTGAACAATCTGAGAATGTTGAATTGAATAATATTCCTATTGTTAGAGAATTTCCGGATGTGTTTCCGAAGGAATTACCAGGGGAATTGGTAGACAGGGAGATAAACAAAAGCATGGTAGGCTAACTAAACATGCAAGAATAGGGAATAAAAGAGAGATATAACATGAAGTGACCTATGGAGGCCCCAAACCATGAAAGGACCTAAATGAAACATGAAGAATGGAAAAAAATAAGAAATTTTTCAGAACTGTAAAATGGCCAAAAACAAAAGTATGATAGGCTGCC